TCTGAGCTTTTGGGGGAGAGAATCTGCTGCTCTGAGGCCAGCTGGGGGATGTGTCCCACCTCGACATCCTGGTGGCTCACAGCAATAAGCAGAGCTTGAATAGCCCCCATCAGTGGCTGTGCCGGCTACTGGGACAGGCTCCCATGGCCACACAGGCTGCACTGGCTTCCAGGATAGATGCATCACTGAACCTCTTCCAGCACTGTCCCAGATCTCCAGCGCTGATGTGAAGCCAATGGCATCTCCGCTCTGAATCAGAGCTGGCATCCTGCCACATACTGCACAGACACAGCACAGCACCACACAACGCACAGCCCTGCACACAGCTGGGGGGTGCAGTGTGCTCTCCCCAGCAGCACCGCAAAGTACATGTCCTGCAATGCATGAGGACACAGGGACTTGGACCCAGCCAACCCCTCGAACGGGCAAAGCGCAGTGCACCGGAACCTCTCACAGTATGTGCATCCCCCCTCCCCCAGCTCCCATCTGCCTGCCCCAGTGCCATGGGCATCACGCAGAGGCACACGTCTCCCTCCCCACCCAGCGTGACCAAACCTCCCGTTCCCCATCAGCACCCTGTGCAGAAATTCATGCATACAGAGCTAAAGGGTGCATGAACATGCCGGCCACAGAGACAGCCGCAAGGTGCACAGCACCCCGGATCCACACTCGTGCCAACGCTCCCTCCAGCATCCGAGCCCAGCTGCCGGAGGCAGTTTCCTCCCCTTGCTGGGGGCTGGTTTGGGCACTCCCTTCCAGCTCAGAGCCGCCATCTGTCCTGTCCTGTCTCCTCCCCTCTCCTCCCCTCTCAGCACCAACTCCCACAACTCTGCAGAACTCCTTCTGATGGCCAGACCAGGCTCCAGCCCTGCAGAGACCCAGCCACAGCGAGAGCCCCACCTCCGAGCCCCCCGGCAAGCAGCTCTCTGGCTGCAGCACGCACACGCTCACACAAGGACAGCTGCAGAGTCACCGCAGAGGGACACAGATCCGCGGGAACAATAGCAAATGCACACAGCGAGAGGCACGCACACACACGCTGGACTTCTCCCAGCCCGGAGGCGCGCTCTGCTCCTGCCCAAGGACAGCTGGCAGGGTTGATGTGCAACGCGCTGGCATGCAACGCTGGTCCCCACTGATGTCATCCTGTCACCCGCGCTCGGAAAACATTTGGGGACGCAGCCCCTCACTGCCATGGGAGAAGGGGCTGGCTGGGGACAGCCACTGCTAAGAAGCCCCCCCCCAACTTGTCATCCCTCTAATCTGCAGCTACCCCGGTCCCAATGAGACCACCGCTGCTGCCGCTGCTTGTCCTGTGGGTGCCGTGGCTCCTGGGAACCCTGGCAGAGGTAAGCCCTTGTCTCTTCAACTCCCTGTTTGTCCATGCAGGCGTTTGGCTCCAAGCTCGCTGGCGGCAAGGGGCTTTGCATAGTCCTACCCCGCTGAGGAATGACGGCATATTTCTGGGCTGCCTCTCCGGCCATGCAGCTGCACCAAATTAGCGACGTTTGCAATTACAAGCTGGCTCTTTCCTCCACTTCCCCCCGCCTCGCCATGCCCTCTCGCCCAGCGCCTGCGATCGGAGTGTGTTACCGCTGCCATGGCTGCATGGCTCCTCGCCCCAGGAATTGGCTGGCTGCTATTCCCAGGGGTCCAGAGCCCCTTCGCTCCCCTTCGTGCACACACTCCCAAAAGCACTGCAGTCAGTGGGGGAGCCAGAAATGAGTCAGCCAGCAGAGCCAAGGGGGAAATAACTAAAGAAAGATGATTGCTCCTCTGTGGCTTGTTGTGGGACAGGGAGTGGGCAGAGATATTTCCTTTAATGTGGAGGGAACTAGCCTCAACCTAAAGCAGGGCACACCCTGCTTGCGAGCAGACTGTGGGGAGACGGGTGTCTCGCAAGCGTGCTCAGCACCCGCTGCGGTATGGAGGGTGCTGGATGCTCTGGAGCTCTCAGGCCAAGCTTTTGCTTTGCAGCCTGTGGGGAAAGGCAACTGGACTGAGGTCTGGGGTCCCTCCATCCTCCCCCCCACCATGATCGTGGGAAGAGGGGGTGCCTGTAAAGTGAAGGAGATTGCCAGGGCCTGTCCAGAGCTCCCTCCCTCCCCAGATCTTCCCCTTGTGCTCTGGCTGTTTTGGTGGGATGTCTTCACCTGTGGGCATGGCCCCATGTTGGCCTGCAGTCCCAGGACCCATGCAAAAGGCCAGGGCAGCCCACAAGCTGTGTCTGCTGAGTTTGTCTCTCTGCCTTGGCTAGGCGAGAGCAATGTGAGCTGTCCTGGGAGAGTCACAGTCCCCAGAGGGTTGCAGCCCCCAGATGCCATGGATCCCTGGGCGGGGTGGGACCTGTGCCTGGCCAGCCTGACCCCAGGCCTGGCACAGGGCACCTCTCCCAGGTGCTGGTCTCAGACCACCTCACCTTGCCCCTCTCTCACTTGACACCTTCAATCCCTCAGGGCAAGGGATGCAACCGGACAGCACAGGCAGGGTTGGAGGGACAGGATGCACGCAGAGATAGAGGTAAGTCAAATCAAAGAGGTTCCCAGGCTGCAGAGGGTGGTCTTGGTGCCTGGGAGTGGTGAGATGAGCAGATGTGCTGGACCAAAACTCTTGGAGTTAAGAGTAGCTTTGTAAATACTCTGCTTTAGACTTACTGCAGGCTGCAGATCATGGCCAGGGAAGGGGAGGGAGTCAGCCCCATCCTCCTCCAGCAGCTAGCCTTATGGGGGGCAATGTGAGAGACGGACAAGGCTCCAAGGTCTTAGGAAGGATCCTACGGAGCATCAAGTGGTCTCAGCAGCAGCACAGCCATAGGTGCCTGCACGGAGCCCCTGCAGTTGGCTGAGTGGGACTGCATTCCATGGGGCAGCCCCACGGCTGTGCTGAGCTGGCTGGGGAGCGGCACGGCTGCACTCAGCCTGCGGTCGGCAAGCACTGCTGTGTGCTTGGAGCCAGCGCAGTGCCCACACAGTGCTGGCCTGTGCCAGTGAAGACTCGCTCAGATGATCTGCAGGCACCAGTCAGGGCTCGGGGTATACCGAGATGTGTCTGGCTGGTGTGGCTAACAGAGCCTAACCATGGGGACATCAGCAGCATTGTGATCATGGGCCTCAGGGCTGGAGGATGCCTCTTCCCCCTTTTAGGTATTAGTACATTTGTACTGCAGAGGTGAAGAGGATGATTGCCAAGTGACAGATGGAGACAGACGATGCAGTCTGTTGGAAACCCGAGAGAAGCAGACAAACATGAGTGGAGAACTAGTAACTTCATGAGAGGAGAACTAGTAACTTCATGAGATAAGAAAGAGCCCACAGTGAAAAACCATCCCTGTTTGAACTCCACACAGGGCACAGTCCTGCTGGCGCTCTTCAGGAGGAGTTTAGCCATGCCCTGTGCTCCACAAGCTGGTGCAATGGAGTCTCTGCTGACAGCAAGGGGAGCCCAGAGCAGCTGGTCCAGGTGTAGACACCTGACCCATGGACACCCAACTATATTCAGATAACACTTCCTGAGCAGTCTGCTCCTAAATCTGCACTTGAACTGCTCAGGGATGGCACTGAGAAGGCCTTTCCCAGGGGTGCTACGTGCTCCTCTTTTGTGTCCATCTAACTTCCCCAGTTCCCTTTGCACTCATCTGCTGAGTGAAGCTCTCAGCATGGCAGCAGGCTCCAAACTATGGCATTGCATGAAATGGAAGTAGCATGTAGTTCTGAAACTGTCCAACTTTGTGGGAAGGCCACACACAACACCTGCGCAGTCCCAAAGTTGCCTGGGCCACTGGGGCTCGCCCCACACTGCTGCTCCTTTGCTGTGTAAAGGCAGCCCTTGGGCAGACCTCTGGGGCAATAGCTGTGCTTGTTTGAAGCTTTCGTGCCCTGCCAGATCACATGTAAGCTTGTTACAACATGTTGCACATCATAAATTTTAAGTGCTAATTATTACACAAATGTCTTATTAGCACTAGAGCTATTCTGGTGTTTCCCAAAGGCTGAAAGCGATAGAGAGCTCAACATTCACAGCAAGGATGGGGATGGGGAGTGCGTGATGATCTGCTAGTGGAGGCACAGGGAGGCAGAGATGGAGGCTGCAAGGGTCACGTTGCCAGCTTGGTCCCAACAGACAGGCTCTGCCTGGCTCCTGTTTGTGTAGGTGTTCCTGAGCAACCCTAAGGGCAGGGATTCAACAGCAGTTTTGGCCACTGACCCACCAATTAGGCCAAGCCCCATACGCCACTTCCTCATCCCCAGACGCTCTCCATCTGGATGCCAGAGCACCGGCCCTGCAGCTGCAGCGTGCTGACCTTGCTGCTGCAGCAAGGTCAAGGCAGGGACACACCTCAGCAGGGAGTTGTGCAAATCTGGCCCGATATTTTCTCCATGTACAGTGTCCTGCTCTTCCCATGTCATCTCTGCACTGGGCAGGACAGTGGGGAGTCAGTGCCTGGATCCCTCCAAAGCAGCCTTTACCCTCTCCTCTGCCAGAGCCCACACAGAGTCGGAGACTAGTGCAGGGAGCATAATGGCCCCATGGCCATATCCATCCTGCTCCCTCACTGGCCATTGTCTTCCTTCTGCAAAGTGGACCCAGAGCCCTTCAAAATCTTTTTTGGGGCTCAAACCAACAAAGGTGGTGAGCAATGGGTTATACCCAGCCAGGGCATCTTTTCTGCCATAAACGAGGGCTGCCTGGACAAAGCATGTGATGGCCTCAAGCCTTCTGGTCTTTCTCCAAAGGAGGACATGCTCCATGCTTATGAGCATCTCTTTCATGTGGTGCCTTTGACCCCAGTCCATGGGGGGTTTCTGAACCTTCTTGTGTTTTCCAAAGCCTGTTTCAAGCCCTTGGAGTTGGGTGGCCTGACCAAAGCAGGGCAGTGGCCTTGGTGGTGGCCTGTGCCAAGGTGTGCAGTGAGGGTGGGCGGGCTGCGAGCCTGGCCCTACAGGCTGGCCACCCAGCAGCACCCCAGCTCTCTGCTGAGGGTTTTGGCTTTGCCTCTGCAGGGACCCTCCTGAACCTCAGCGTGAGGGACCATGGCCGGTCAGACTCTCTCCTTCTGTCCTGGGATGAGCCAGAGGGGGGTGCTGAGGGATATTCGCTCGTCCTCTCCTCCCTGGGATCAGACACGCCACTGCAGAATGGATCTGCTGGATCCAATGTCACCAGCTTCTGGTTCCACGGGCTGACCCCTGGCATGCGCTATGAGATTGAGGTGACGGCCACGCTTGCCTGCATGGAGACCACCAGCCAGACGGTCACAGCACAGACAAGTAAGGGGTTCCCCAGGGACTGCAGAGACAAAGGATCTCAGTGCTCCTACCAATGACAGTCACACTGCTTTGGAGGCTGTAAAGTACAAGTCTGTGTGTTGTCCAGGAGCTCAGGGGGACGTTGGGCCTTTCCTCAATACTTCCACAAGGATTAGAGTCCTTCCCTGCTCCCCAGGCCCTCAAGGGTCATTCCCTCATCCATGTGGGGGGTGGGTCCTGTCCCTGCCCCTTGCATGGGCAGTGTTCACGCTCTGTCGTCTCCTGGAATAGTAAAGCTAATGAGGAACCAACCTATGATATGGACTGCAGAGAGCTGAGGGGTGCAAAATGTTATGCCTGGAGGTCTAGAAAGCTACAAGGAAGTAGCAACTGCTCCATGATTTTGGCATATCTCTGTCAACCACTGGCTCACCCGCCAAGCCTTGCTCTCTGCCCTCCCTGGTTGATGCCAAGGACTGGGGGAAGGGGGCAGGGCTGCTGAGCCCACAGCTCAGGTGAGGATGACAGCCCTTGCCTGCGTCCCTCGGGAAGATCCTTGAGTGAATCAGTGCAGGTGAAGGTGGAAAACCTAGAAAAGGGGAGTAGAGCTGGAGGGAGGGGGTTGGCCAGCAGAAGGCATGGTGTCAGACAACAGTGGTGGCTGCAGGGAGCGGGGCTGGTATTAGGTGACCTGGCAGTAGGTGAGGTCACAGGTAAGTGCTGATGGCTTCACCTTTCTCAGCGCGCACCTGGTGTGCTGTACCTGACTGAGCCACCCTGCCCAGTTCAGAGTGACTGTGCAGAGACTGGTGCAGCCCACACAGCCTGTGGGAGACTGGTGAGCTGACAGGGAGCTGATGGGGCTGTGCTTGGGGGACTGGGTCCTGTGGAGGTGACTGGCAGGACCTCACCAGGTGAAGACACTGTCCCACCAGCCCTTGAGCAACCTGGCAGGTCAGGCATCGCCAGGCAACCAGCCCACGTCGTCTGTGCCATGTCCGATACAGGTCCTTCACCTGTCCGCAACCTGAGCCTGAGCAGTGGCGGGAGCTCTGCCGTGCTGCGTGCCTCCTGGGCGCATGCCCACGGGCAGCGAGATGGCTACCACCTCGCCCTCTACCACAGCGACTCCCAGACGCTCGTGAGAAATGTGTCCATCCTGCCAAACGCTTCCATGTTCCTGTTTGATGGGTTGCTGGCTGGCAGCGAGTATGCCTTGAAGGTCAGCACACTGGCTGGATCCAGCCAGGCGAGCACCAGTATCCACCAGTGGACAGGTAGGGAATGATGGGTGTGCCTGCCCAAGAGGGAAGGGGTGGGAGAAAGGGTTTGGCAGGAGCAGCACATGTGCCGGCTGGGCTGGCAGAAAGGGGAAGGAGGTCTCCAGGCTCAGAATGGGGAGTTTGTGTAGGATGGGGAACAGCCGGGAGCTTTTCACGTCCCCGCTATGAGCCCAGCGTGCCGGGGCAAGGGGAAAACCTCGCACCTCAGCCCTGCCTTGCAGGACCCACAGCTTGGGTTTGTGTGCTCCATGTTTCCATGGGAGAAGGCAGCCTGGGGATCCTGGCAAAAGATCTTGGCTGGTGGGAGCTGCGGAAATGTTGCATAACACAGGCTGCCACCCCTTCTGCCCTGCAGCCTGAAGGAGTGTGACAGTATGGAGGGACCTCACGAGCCCCTCAGCCCATCTGGGAAGGGACACGGGAGAGAAATCCCTCAGCAGACCCCTGCCAGACCTTCAGCCCCCATGCCAGCACAGAGAGCAGCTGTGGGTGTAGGAGACCCTGGGGAGAGAGGAGGGGTCCAGGGAGCCCCAGCACCTCTGCTGAA